ATTATAAGAATTTTAAAATGATATTACATTATGAAACAATATTTTTTAATATACCGGGTCGTCTCAAAAGTGGCTCAACCCTATAACTTTTTTATTTTTTCAGATAAAAAAACAGATTTGTATGTTAGTAGGTATATGACATAAATTGATTTATTGACGTATTCAATTGTTTTTGGTCTCTTCCTGTTTCACCGAAATGATTACATCTTTTGATTTTTAAAGGCACCCTCGGTATATTGCTACTTTATTCGATAAAAAATGACACTCTGAATAGAATGACATATCATATGTCAACTTTTGACATTGTCGCTTAAAAACATATCCTATTTTAAATTTCAATCCAGTTCTTTTCAATCCACTAAGTTTTAATCAAGGAGCCTTGGAAAAATAGTTTTGATCGTCTAATAGGTTTTGTGTCTTGTCTAGGCCGGTTAAAAGATGTACAAATCGTATTTTTAATCATACATATGTCAATTTTTTCAAATGGAACAAGGGTGACTCATTAGCATATTTGGAAAAAGCATTTTTTTATGAATATATTGATACCACATACTTGGTATTTCGAGTCAAATTGTCGTTATGAACCGCGTGTTACAATTACAATTAAACCATATGCGAAAATGTCAAAAGTTGACATATGATATGTCATTCTATTCAGAGTGTCATTTTCTATCGAATAAAGTAGAAATATACCGAGGGTGCCGTTTAAAAATTAAAAGTTATAGTCATTTCCGGTGACACAGGAAGTGACCAAAAACAATTGAATGCGTCAATCAATCCTAATTTATTTCATATCTAACATACTAAATCTTGTTTTTTTATTTGAAAATATAAAAAAATTATGGGGATGAGCCACTTTTGGGACGCACCCGGTATAATAAAGACAGTACCGAGTTAAATAAATGTAGTTTTTATTTTATCCACTTCCTATCACCTTCCTTGCTTTAATGGAACAGATTTATGTTTTCTCTAATTTACATAATAAGACATCACTTAACTAGAAAAAAAATTACAACAATCATTTTTTTTTCTCTCCCTGTCGCCGATTCTATTATATCTGTGGAATAGATCCGGTTTTGATTAATATTAGGGGTTGTAAATGTTTGACTAAAATTAATAATTTATTATTAATTTCAAAAATTACGTAATTTCGATTATAAAATTTCTTCTATAACGTGTATTTTATTATGTTTATCCTTTTCGGACTCTAAGACGTTTTTTCTAAACTTTTATGTAAAAAACCTGTCCTAAATCTTAATAAAATATAAAAACGTTTAAATACGATATATTTTTAATTTAATTATAGCTTCATTAAAATAAAAAAATTACCCGGCTATGATACGGAGAGTTCAGGTGTACTTGAGAAACGAAAGACAGTGTTGTGTTTCTCGGCAGAGTCGTTAGGGAACGACCGTTACGACAGAGACAACCTATCTATCGCTCGTGTCGCACTCGTTATAACCTAAAACAATAACACAACAATAACAAGACAGTGTCTGACCGCATGTTCCAGCTATTTATGAATGAGATGCTCAGTCTATATTTTATTTTAAGTCTATGAACTGAATACTTTACTTGCCTACGAAAAGATAATTCGGGGACCTTTATATTAGAACTTTCACACATTAAACACTTTGTAGTAATTTTTAGGAGTATTTAGAAAGTCCAACGAAAAACAAATAGAAATATAATAATTGCACAAACTTAAAATTAATTTCTCACTGAACACACTTACATCCTTGGCTATATAAAAGAGGTCGATAAAAGAGTAATTAATACAATTTTTAAAATAAAAACGCAAAAAATAAGCTGTATAAAATTGTGATTATTTTGGGAATACGTGCAACTTTTAATGCGCATGCGCAAAGTAAGGTCCTCGACAAAAACAAACCTATTGAACGTTTCATAAGTGCAATAAAGAAGGTTTGAAAATGGCATGTCGTGATGTTGGAGACATATTTTTTAATGCTAAACTTATGGCGTTGATTTATCCACGTAAGTATAAATCTAGGGTTATACTCCTAAGGCCGTGCCACAAAAATTCGACCACCTTGTATAGATCCACAGCGAGCTAACAAACTTCCGTGACTCATTCATTCTAATGTCGCCTTAATAATTGAAGGGTGTATGTAGCTGACGCACGTACATGGATATGCCGTATCGGTGAATACTTCTATTTAGGTTTTTTTTGCCTCTGTGGTAACGTGAAAAGCATTACCAATATTACGGTGCGGCAGATAATGCGGAGCTAATATGCATTTTTGTAGCGATGAACGAGGAATATTTGATTAAATTTTCTAGGTAATTGCGTCGGACGTTATCAGGCGACAGTCCAATGACAGTCGACGTCACGATAAAGTCAAAACATGCCACATTCTTTTATCTTTATACAGTATCGGAGGATTTTAGCATAACGCCGCTAATGAATAGTGTGTTTTGAAGATAATTTTATGAACTCTGACAAAAAAATGTCATCAATGTCTGAATGTCATATAATAATAGCCGCAGCTGTCAAGGAATTGAGCGATAATGAAATTATGACAAATAATTTTTAGCCGATCATACCCAGGGGGGTGACAGTGAAATAGGAAAATTGGAAACAGTCATTAGTGTCATTCCTGTCATCTCCTGACGACAAGTATGGCCGCCTAGACAAGGACAGCAATGTTTCTGTCTAACTATTGTCTAACTTCACAGTTTAGAATTGACAGATTTGTTCTAGAACAAATTTCGACGCCATTTTAATTCTCTCCGTTTAGTTTTGTTTTGTAAATTCAATTTGATATTTCGGCTGAAATTTATAAATATAAAGGTAATAAAGCATATAAAATATATGTTACATGAAAAATCCTGGAGAAAAAGACACGTTTCTGCAGTACTAGGTATGTCCCATGTATATTAAAAATAGGTAGTAAATAAACACTACTTCTATAGTTTTTAGATGCAAGAAAAATTTGTTATATGTTTATGATCGTCGATTTTTTTGAAAATGGTAACAATTTACAGCAAGATAAGATCATTTTTAGCTATAGCCAACATTAGTTATCCCCAGTATGTGCGATTTATTGTCAATAATACAATAAATCTGACTGATACAATCTTACGATTATTATCCGACTAAAAGTCTCTTTTTGCTTCTTTTGGATTTATAAACCAGGTTTCTCTGGGAATAATGGAGCTTTTTTTAAATAGTTTATACCTATATTGATATTTTTACATTGTTAATTTTAGTATAAAAAAATTGTTTTTCTGTTTTCAGGTTTGGTTTGGTTTGGTATAAGGCTCCCGTTGTCATGTTCCTGCCCCCGTTTTCTGTTTCTGAAGGCTGTGAATACGTGTATTTATTTACAAATTACTATAAGTCATGCTTATACCTTACTAATTTACGTTAAAACTGCATATAATTAAGTAATTGATATAGAAATCATTCAATTCTTTATTTTTTATATTTATTTAGTCACGTTGTCTCATATTTCAAATAAATATGTTTGAATACATTTTTATTTTGTTTTATTTATGATAAGAAAGAGTACAAAATACATTTAAATTGAAAGGGGTGCCCGCCATTGAATAACCGGAAACGGAAATAAAAATGAAGCCATCATGTCAACCTGTCAATTGAAAATTAGTTCTCCAGACGACAACGAAGGCTTTCGGTGGCGTATCGTGTTTCCGCGATTTAACACAGAGTTGACACTTCTTTCTAGTTAATTATTTTATGATCATACCAATAGGTAGGCTGTTAAGATCGGCAAAAAAAAGTTTGTTTTAATTTCACTCAAAATGAGTTATTTGGGTCATAAATGACCTAAATACAAAAAATTTTCATGGTGTCTGTCTGTCCGTCTGTAACACGATAACTCAAAAACCGCTCAACCGAATTAACCAAATTTGGCACAAAAATACTGTGGCACCCGAGAATATGGCCATTAGTTTTTGGTGGGGGTGGGGGGTTGGTAAGGGGGTATGGGAGCGGGTTAAACATTTTTAAAAATCGTAACTCCAAAATTACAAAATTTAAAGAAGGCGTCCATTCTTCTCAAAGAGACCTGAATTAAATTAAAAAAGTAGAAAAGTAGACAAGCCTTTGAGTCTTTTTTATACTTTTTTAATCCAAAATTACAGTAGCTAGCGAAACGCGGTTTTCAATTTAAGATTAGGAATAGTATAATTTGTAAATAAAAATAGTATAATTTGTCAACTAAACGACTCTTGCTAAAAAGCGTAATATATTGTATTAGTTTGTTTTGGTTTGGAAGCTATAAATAGACATCAAGGTGTTTTGTGGTGAATTCATTGAAGGATCAGGTATGAAATAAAAAAAAATTGTGAATGAACTTAAGGAGAAAAATAAATTGTCTCTATCACGGGGTTGTAACAATAAAAATACCAAACAATAGCATTATAAAAAATATTCCAGTAATGCGGACACCTCCGTTAATTCGGTGCTAGCTGTTTCGATATGTACCCAAGTTCTCATCATCATCATCATCATGTAGCCATCGTTGTCCACTGCTGAACGTAGGCCTCCTCCATATTTCTCCATGTCTCTCGATTTTGGGCCGTCATCATCCAATTTCCAGCAATCCTCTTTACATCATCGGTCCAGCGTGTCGGTGGTCTGCCTCTGCTACGTTTATCTGCTCGAGGTCGCCATTCTAACAATCTTCTAGTCCACCTGTCTTTAGATGTTCTCCCCACATAACCTACCCATCTCCATTTCATTCGAGTTACGTGTTCCACTATGTCTTTAATTTTGGTTTTTTGTCTGATAGTGTTATTAGGAATTTTGTCTCTTTTAGTTATTCCAAGCGTGGCCCTCTCCATGGCTCTCTGGGCTACTCTTAAATTTTCTGCTGACTTTTTCGTTAATGTTAGAGTTTCCGTTCCATATGTAATTACCGGCAAGACGCATTGTTCATAAACTTTCCTCTTCAAGCATATGGGTATAACATTTTTAAAGGTCTTCCGCAGTTTACCAAAAGCAGCCCAACCCAAACCTATTCTGCGCTGTATCTCGTGTGTTTGGTTGTTCTTTCCGATTTTTGTATTTCGTGCCCGAGATATTTGTATATATGTGTTTCTTTTATGTCGGCGTCACCTATTCTGATGTTCTGTGTCAGCACTAAGTTTGTCATTATTTGAGTTTTACTCGTATTTATCCGGAGACCGACTTTTAATGAGGCCTGCACTAATTCTTCGAGCATCTGCTTTGAATCTCCGATGTTATCTGAGACAAGGACGATGTCATCTGTGAATCTGAGGTGTGTCAACCATTCACCATCGATATTTATGCCCCTATTCTTCCAAGAGAGTGATTTCATTGCGTATTCCAGGACAGCTGTAAAAAGTTTAGGCGAAATAGTATCCCCTTGTCGAACTCCTCTGCCTACCTCAATTTTACCTGTTGTTTCGTGAAGTTTTACAGTTGTGGTGGCATTACTATATATGTATTCTATAAGCCTTGTATACCTATAATCTACTCTTCCCTGCTCCAATGCTGCTATTTCCCAAGTTCTACTGTAATATAAATGCAGAAAAAGAACGTACAAAAGTTATAGAGGAAAGTAACCAAATATGGAGTACCATTTAGTTTTTGTGTTATATAAAATTAAAAGTATTCGTAAAAAAATGTTTTTTCCAAATATGCTAATGAGCCACCGTTGTTCCATTTGAAAAAATTGAGATATGATTAAAAATACGATGTGGGCATATTTTAACCGGCCAGAACAAGACACGAAAAACATTAATATCAAATATAATTTTCCAAGGCTTCTTGATTACAAATTAGGGTTTTTAACACAGCCATGGCACTCTATATAGAAATTTAAAATACGATTTTTTTTAAAACGAAAATGTCAAAAGTTTACATATACAGGGTCCGGCAATAGTGCGTCAGGCATCTGTAGCTCCTAGAATAAAAAACTTGAGAATTTTGTTTAAGTGCAAACCTAAAGTATGTACCAGGATGTATTTCAGGAAAATATTTTAACTTTTATAGGGTGGCTCAAAAAAGTGTGAGTGGACCTGAATGATTTTTTTTTTAAATGGAACACCCTGTATATAATTGCATATAGTTTCAGAGATATTAAAAGTAAAATAAAATATGTATTTTTCAGCCCATCTTAAAAAAATTATTAAAAATACAAGAACTGTTCTGAAATCAAAAATAAATATTAGGTATTTACATTAGATAGTCTGTTCTTACATTGTTATAAATATGGTAATCGTATATCATACAGGATGTTCAATATTCTACATACAAACTTTCTAAAATATAAAATAATTTTTATTTGTTATTTTAAATGGAACACCCTGTATATTATTTTTTTATTAGATGGAGAGTTAAAAATGAACATTTTTGTATTTAGAGTATTTCAAAATTTTGAAAGGTTTCGCAGATACGCGCAGTATTATTTCATATGGCGCTTTCAATAGTAAAATACGAGAGAAAATCAATGGGTGGCTTTGATAAAAATTTACTGTGGAAAATGGCATATGAAATATAAAACCGCAAATATCTGCGAAATTTTGAAATACTCTAAATACAAAAATGTTCATTTTTAATTCTCCGTCTATTGAAAAAAAATAATATACAGGGTGTTCCATTTAAAAATCGAGGAAAAATTATTTTATATTTTAAAAGTTGTAGCAAATATTTGAACATTCTGTATAATTTACGATTTTCATATTTATAGCAAAAGTAAGTACAGACTATCTAAAGTAAATACCTAATATAGTTTTGATTTCAGGACAGTTCTTGTATTTTTAATAATTTTTCCGAAGGGCTGAAAAATTCATATTTTTTATTTTATTTTAATATCTCTCAAACTATCAAAATATGGAGTATTCATATCTTAGGTGTTATATAAAATGATCTGAATTCGTAAAAAATGCAATAAATATGCTAGTATTCCATTTAAAAAAATCATCAAGGTCCACTATATGTCATTTTATTCAGAGTTTCATTTTCTATCGAATAGAGTAGAAACATACCGAAGGTACCATTTAAAAATCAAAAGTTGTAGTAATTTCCGGTGAAACAGGAAGTAACCAAAAAATAATTGAATAGGTCATTTGGGAAAGGTGGCATGTCCACTTTTTCAAATTTTACAGGAGAGACATTTTATTTTTCAGAAAAATGTTGTTTTAAATTTCTTTTATGATAATAGGGGGTAAGAGTTACTAGATTAACCTAAACATTTTAGTTTGTGATATACAGGGTGTTTGAAATTTATCCTTTTTTAGTTTTGAGATGACCCGTTTCCAAAATGAACCAACGAAAAAAACCCACAAACCAAACAAAACTGACATATTTTAACAAAAATATTATTGCTTTGTTAATGATACAAAAACTTAAACTACAAAAAACACTGAACAAAAAAATCCTTCGGAAACACATTAATATCCTTCCTCTGGTGACTCTCATCGTGGTGGATCTCATCGTAAAATGCTTTAAAGTTTTCTGGGATATATTGAAGAAGTTTTTTCAGGTCATTGAATTTTTTCTCATTGATAGATATTTTTCCTTGATACGCTGGGTTGTTTTGACAGTTAGGAAGGACCAGAGGTGGAGTATCATTCTGCATAGTCTTTGCAAGAAGAAAGCGCTCCTCCAACACGTTATCGATGTACGGTTTTGCGATTACAACGCTGGGTTCTTTACAATCAAAGGTAAACTCATAATACTGATTAACTGCAAAACTCTTTCCTTATTTTCTTTGGGAACCCCCTTGCCAATGCTACGCAAAGAAAGAACTTTTTTGGGACACCTCCCAGAGATGCCCCGTTTTCATAATGATTGTATTATACACTACCTAAAATTATTAGGATACTATATCAAGAGCTGGCTCGTTTTCACACAGAACATGCGTCTAGAGTGTTACATTCGAAAGCCGATAAAAACGGAATTTTGAAAATTTTCGAGTTGACCCTTTTCCCAAATAACCGATTCAATTGAATATGCCAATCAATCCTAATTTATGTCATATACAAACATACCAAATCTTGTTTTTTATCGGAAAAAATAAGAAAAGTTATATGGGTGAGCCATTTTCGAGACGCACCCGGTATAGAAAAATTGCTAAAATTATACCGTTTTTTAACTATAAAACAATCCATAAACCTCCAAAAAACGTCCCTATCAGCAACAAAATGAGCGTTGTTGTGCTTTTTTTCGAAAATTCGTCGGCAACGCGCCAGAGTGATTAATGGTAACAGTTGATGAAAATTTTATTTTAAAAGATTTTCGCCCAGTCACCTTCCCTTATTAGAACGCACCGAAATGAGCCAAAGTAATTGCCAGGAAACGCGACAGAGGGGGCCAGGGAGTGGGGAAATGCAAAAAAGGGAGTGGGGGGAACCATAAATCTACAAAAAAAAACTGTTAAGTACACAGACGAAAATAATTCGTAAAAATAATTAATAAATTAATAAATATCGTGTATTATTTGGACTATTTCGGAAGTATAAATATTTTTTTCCCGTATATACCTACAGGGTGTTTCATGTGCTATCTCTCGTGGGGAGATTCCTCACGTAAAAAAATAAAAATAAATTTTATTTTTCATATCAACATATTACCGATTCTGCTTTGTTTCGTATCTAGAGGGTGTTAAAATCTTAATAATGTTTCGATTTATTATAATTTTCTTCCAAGTACTTTTAGTGATTCGAATGAATTTTTGAGGGTAAAAGTTACTATAAGTGCTACATATTTTAATACTAAAAGTGTCGATAAATTCATCAGGGGCGTGCAAATGGGTTATCACTGGAATATTTTTGAAAAAAAAAACATGTGCGCCACTGACTTTTTTCTTTTGATATCAAAATCGTGTAGGCCGATTAATGCTAATTAAAAAATATTTCTGGGTATTTTGTCGAATTTCTCCTTGATGAGATAAAAAATATTTCTGGGTATTTTGTCGAATTTCTCCTTGATGAGATAAACGGAATTTTATTAATCACAATTATTAATAAAAATAAAATTAATAAATCATATATTTTACCTAATTCATTATTAAATCTTATTTCTATTAGTTGTAATTACTATTAGTCCAACCTACAGCAATTTTGAATTAAAAAATAATGGTATTTAAGATAATTACAAAAAAACATTATAAAAAATTTAAAAAAAAATTAACATCCTGTGTCTCTAAAACTATGCTTTCCTAACCCATGTTTATAGGAACTTTTTTCATATTTTTTGATAAGGAATCAATGAGTGCTTATTTAAAAGGTTCACAAGTTAATGATATTAAAAATTTTTAAAGGTTCCTATTAGACTTCGATAAAAAAATTAATAAGATTGTGTTTATCTCATCAAGGAGGACGAAATCGACAAAATATGCATGCTTTTTTAGAGAAATATTCCTGTGATAACCCATATGTACGTCCCTGGTGAATATATAAACACACATTTTAGCTTTAAAATATGTCCCATTTATAGTAACTTTTACCCCCAAAATTTTTTTTGGAGGAAAATTATATTACATCGAAAAAATATTAAGACTGTAACACCCTGTAGCCACGAAACGAAGCAGAAACGGATCTATGTTGATATGAAAAATAAATCTTATTTTTACGTGAGCAATTTCCCCATGAAAGATGGCACATGTTTTTTAAACCACCCTGTATACATCGAAAATCAGACAAGTGTAACAGGAAAGGGTGATGCCATTATAATTAACATTTGATTAATAGCCCTCGGCGTGTATACGAGTCGGGACAAAATTTCCCTGCCAAAAGTGACAACAAATCGTCCTGTGCCTGTGTGCGAGCGAGTAGTTAGTGACTGACGAGTCTCCGCCAAAATAATGACATTATTTTGGTTTATAACTATTAAAAGGCCGATGACGGGGGAGCTTTTTTGTTTATCCAGAGTGGGTATTAGGTCTTTTGTGAGGTAGATGTATCGTTTAGGGCCTAATATCTCTTTTGTATTTCATGAATGACAGTGTTTTTACCCATTTGGCGTTTTGATAATGAATAATGTCAGCTATGAACGACATAAATTATCGACTCTTGTTTGAAGTAGTTTCATTTTTATATTCCATCTACAAGACTTTTTAATAAATAACCAACACTAAAAATACTAGAAGAATATACATATTTGGGACAACTAATACACAGCTCGGGATCTTTACTACCAGAAATCAACAGAAAAAGTTAAGTTAGCATGGAGTACTTATAGAAGAAACTCAATCATATTCAAATCTAGAATACTACTGCTATTACTCGCTGACGAGTATTTGACACGCATCAGAAGATGGTTATGCAAGACGTTTTCTTTCATGAGCTTTTCTGCGAATGAAAAGCCCCTATACCTGATGTTATCTCTCTTCCGCACTCCGGACATTCAAAAATCTCATTCCTCTGTTGACTCTTTACTTTTTGGTTGTCGCTGTTAACTGAGTTTCCAATTCTTCTCCATTGCGTTCTATATTGTGCGCTGCTTCTTCCCACTGATTCTGCATGTTTATTCCCTTTAAGTTCTCATGAAAAATATCCTTGTACCTTTT